GGAAATTGCATGTATTTTAAACGGCAAACTTCTCCTCGTTACAGGGAATGATTAGGATCGGATTAGAAAGTTCAAAGTTGGCTTCAAAATTTTTTTTTTTTTTTTCGAATCGAATGGGAGGGGCGGCACAATTGAAATTCGAAAATCGTGCAAATAAGTACCACCCTAGTGTATACACTTAAAAAAACTTAAAATTTTACATTAATTCTATAAGTATATAGTTCTGATATGAATGCGTTAAAGCTTTCGTGGATTGATATATCGTTTGAAAAAGTTTCTGATATATCTACGTCACTAGTTATATGCCGACGTTTCGGACTCTTCGCAGAGCCCATCTTCAGGGCAATAATGGTCTCGACTGTTCAGCTGCCGTGGCCATACTCAGTTGCATATAACTAGTGACGTGGATATATCCGAAACTCTTTCAAATGATACATAGTTCTGTTCAATAGATACAATAAAAAAAACACTTTTTTATAAAATTATTCAAACATACGTAACAACAAAAAAATGCCATTTTTAAAAAGTGGCTTTGCTGGTTTTTTCTGTACCCTCCATTTACATACATCTTAATTCAAATGTACAAATGTACATAAGACACGGTGGGGTAAATTTTTTAATTTGTCAAGAGTAGACGCCGCTGTCAGACGTCCCGGGAAACTCGAGTGGCTAATACTTTAGTTTAGCTTCAATTTAATACTGTGAATGCAGCCAGGCGCTCACACAAAAGCCTTTTAAACTATCCTAACGTGTTTTTAATAAGTGCTTAATTATTTTCGTCCCTTTGAATTGACATGTCGATGGGAAATGTTTACTGCGACGGTCTTTGATAAGCCGCGTGTCAGGCCCATGCTCTTTTGTTTCTACTAAATAATTAAATCGCTTCCGACTGTTGTAATATCCTACAACACAAAATAAACGGATATCGATTTTATAACCGTACAGCCGTCTAGTGCGTATGGTATTTACATCAGGGGTGGCTATAGTAGTTTTAATGTGTAGCAAAAAGTAGGACTAAAATCAGTCTGCTAAGATAGAAGAAAATAATCATCGTTCAATATATCGTGGTGATAGGATATCAATGATAACAGTATTTTGAAAAAATATTGCTTTTAAATTCGATAAAATATAATATAAAATGTATTATTATTAACTTGTATATAAGGTATATAAGTTTTAGCTATTTATTTGTATTAATTAACCACAATGCCTAGCTGTTTTATTTGTTCAACAATAGACTTTTTACTTCGCTCTTGCATACAAGCTAGTATAGGTATGTATTTCATCTCTTTATATTATTACTCTATGGTCGGCACCCACTAAATCAGTTCTAGGGGTATATCTAAAACCCGGGATGGAATGACAATTTTTCCATAATGCAGTGTACCCACTAGGACAAAAATATATTTTTTTATATATCACATATTTTATTCCATAGTCTGACGGGACTTAGTATATTTAAATAAATACTCACATTTAAATGATGGGACTTGAATAATATTATTCTAATAACCCCCCTTGTACATTTTATCACATACCTACCCGATAATAGTATTTCAATAATTATGCGTCATATTATTTATTGTCTAATGAATGAATAAAACAATAATGGATGAATAAAACAGTATATTTATTTATAATGTTGTATTATTTCATGAAAATGGACAGTTTGTTTTGCGATTTGGCCTATCTTTCTTATCTTAAGAATGCTGAAATATTTTGTCTAGTTTTTTTAATTTCATTTAACTAAATTTTTTTTAGATAGCTCTTTTGTGTAAGAACCATAGTGATATTCGTTAGTCATCGGTGTTAGTTGATTTAATTTCTACCCCATGACTCTTTAATATAATATGTTCAGTATATTTTTAAAATTAAAAAAAAAAATTGCCTACAGTTTTGGGTTAATGTAAAATGTACTTAATTAGGTTTTCAATGACAAGACCAAAATATTGTGTTTACAGTATACACTGATTGCAATTATACGTATAAAAGAATATTTTGTTGTTGTTAATTTAATGGTTTTTATCTTTAATTATTAAACACAAAAATGTAGTCTTTTCATAATGAAGTGTAAGACCATTATTATAAAATCATCATTTAGTGTCATTAATATTATAATTAGCATTATGATTTATGTTACAATATCGTATAATTTAAACTAAGTTAGACTTATTGTGACTTCGACAAAAGTAAGGAAATATACCTACTCCACAGTATTCCAGTTGCTTACTAAGAAACTTGAGAAATTCACTAACGGATAAATTCAGTGCTGCGCGTGTACTTCATTAAAAGTTCCAAATTATAAACCTAATATGATTGAATTGGCTTTAAGCGTACAACCGAACAAATCACATAAAGCAATTATTCAAGTACTTTAGTCTTAAATTTATTCGAATTAATTATTTTGAAAATTTTTCGAACAATTAAATTTGAAAAAGTTATTCGAATAACTTTCACTCGAATAACGTGTTATCTAGATGATTATTTGGATAATGTTTTATTCGAATGATGCATGACACAACAATACCATATTATTATAAAATAAGTGTCTTGATATGTGTTGTTATTGGATTTGCAACGTATTTCTACCTGTCGCTGTGATTTTTCTTTTTTCCGTAATCTCATACTTTTGCATCATCATGCAAAACGAAAAGTTAAGTGGTTATATTAATAATAAATAACTGTTACTATTATATTTATTTTATTATTCATTTTTTAGATATTATAGAACTTTAAAATGTATCCTGTATCTTAAGAACATCTATTATACACGTAAACACCCACATCATTTTTGGGGGGCTCAGTGTAATGTCAGGTGTTCCTTGGCTTTAGTGGTTCGTCCCGAAGGGATCCCCTACGACCGCGGACCGACTAGTAGCACTGGGTGCTAATTGCGGGCCGGGGAAGGTGTGTCTCAAGAAGAAGTGACCTGTTAAAAGGCCACTTAACGGAGGGCTCTACGTCACTTTAGTCGCCTTTTATGGCAGGTGTGAGGCCTTTGGTAGAATTCTTTCTTCCCTGACCACAGGGATAATAGTGTAATGTCACTCATATTGAGATAATTAATGCAATAATGAATAATGAAAGAATTACACTCATGTGATGATAAAAAATAATCACTATTACAGCTGCCGCGCTGATAATTTGGTAAATCAGCCACTACCCGCCAGGTAAAAGCTTAGATGCCCCCGCGCCTTCGTCACCCCAACCACCGACGCCGACGGCGCGGCGAGGGGGCTGAACGCAGACACCTCCGTGTCACCGCCACTATAACCGCCGACGGCGAAGGGACCAGACGCAGACGGCGTACACTGCCGTCCGACGAGTCACGAGGCTAACCGAGACCGTAACGCCGGCGACCTACCTAACCTAACCGTACATAACTTACCCCTAACAGATCGATGACAAAATATGCATTTTGCCTGCGCGACGTTTCGCAACGCTATGCAACGTTTAAGTTTTATCAGCCACTACCCGCCCGTCCGAATCAGAGACGCCGCCGCCGACAGCGTACAGACAAGCAGCAGACCATGCCGGTGTCGGCCGACGAGTAACGATACTGGCCGAGACCGTAACACCGGCGACCAACCTAACCTAACCGTATTTAACTTCACCTTCAGAAGAGCCGATCGATGGCAAAATATGCAATTTGCAACATTTTGCTGCGCGACGTTTCGCTACGCTGTGCAACGTTGCACGGCTATGCAGGTCCTTGACAATTAAATGAAACGGTTACACTTCAAAACGTCACGCGACAAATCCCCGCCCAAAAAAAAATCGCCTCTCATTGACGCCAACATTAACAAAATGTGTATACAATACACAACAACTAATGATATTTATTGTGCGGCCAGCATCACATATTATTAAGGAGTAAATAGTAATGACCCATCTCATTTGACCATATATATATATATATAAATATATATATATATATAAAAAAAATGATCTTTTAGTCAAGTAATAATTATTGTATAATATACAATGTATATTGTTTATAGATCCTGACTTTTGCGGTCCGGTTACTACAGTTAATTTGATTGACAAACGGTTAACGCCAGGTAAAAACTGAAAACCAACTGTCGTCTGTCGTACACGGTACACATAATACACTTATACTAGTATTGATTATAATATTATCGTTATCACTTGCCGCCTATCGCGTTATCGGTTAAAAAAAAAATTGTTATCTTAACCCGGTCCGGGTTGGTCCGAGTTACAAAATAATATTTTACGTGTCGGTCCGGTCCGGATAAGTAGTATTTTTCAATTTCATGGTCCGGTCCCATTTTATTAGGACCGCACAGACCTCTAGTGCCTGGGTATCATTAAAAGTGTTGATTCAGATGGTGCTAGTGTAAATTCAATGGAAAATAGGAAGTTATTTTATTAGTGGCGACTGAAGGAAAATATTATGTTTTTTAAGTAGAATGACATGCTAATGAAAATAAAACCACCACAGCTAGTGAGACGGTAACTAATTTAAAATTGAAATGCACTAAAATTGTCCATACTTCCAAAAAATCTACAGTTGAACTAAGCTGTGAACATTATTTATTAAATCAGTTTTATACACCTCAACCATATATTTTTAGATGTTTTAAAACATTTTCAGTTAAATACAAATGTTTTAATAAATAGCTGTTCAATTCCTATACAAAATTTTTAAAAAAACTCTTTTAATAAAAATACCTCATTAACAAACAAATAGAAGCTTTAAATACAAATATAATAAATAATACAATTAAATTTATATTATAATCACCACTTGCCTTTCAAAAGAAGACTTGTAACTTCTTTAATTTTAAAAATATTTTCTACAAATTTGTATGTTCCTACCAAATTGTTTTTTTTAATATCAACTAATATTACTAATATGCTATGGTTATGACCTAATTAATTTACGCCAATAATCATTAGTCCTTACAATATATAATACACAGGATATATTTTTTACTATCTAGAACATATTATTGATATTAATTTTACAAATATCCTACCGTTAAAGAGGGTAGGGACAGCATTATTTGTTAACCTGTTTCTACGATTAACATTCAGGACCATATTTTTGTCTTCAAAATAATCTTTAACGACAACGTTTTTGTCAGCCACTTCGGGGACACCATTCTCAATCCACATCGCACGTCTAGAACAATAAAAAGTATATCAGTATAAATACGTCTTTATGTGATGTATTACATAATTAAATATTTTAAAAAGGTAAGGCATTAACAAACAAATAGAAGCTTTAAATACAAATATAATAAATAATAAAATTAATTTTATATTATAATCACCACTTGCCCTTCAAAAGACTTGTAACTCTTTAATTTTAAAAATATTTTCTACAAATTTGTATGTTCCTACCAAATTGTTTTTTTAATATCAACTTTTGAAACTCAAAAAGGTAACGTTTATGTTTTATTAAATTAAGAATATTTTACCTAAAGTGTTGACTAGTTGATAACCAGTTTTGAACCACTTTTTTTCAAAGTTATACAAGTTTAAAAGTTAGGGCGGAAGAAGAAGTATGCGCAAATAAAAATAATACTACTAATATGCTATGGTTATGACCTAATTCAGTTACGCCAATAATCGTTAGTCCTTACAAAAATATAATACAAATACAACATACAAATATATTATACACAGTATATATTTTTTACTATCTAGAAAATATTATTGATAATAATTTTACAAATATCTTACCGTTAAAGAGGGTAGGGACAGCATTATTTGTTAACCTGTTTCTACGATTAACATTCAGGACCATATTTTTGTCTTCAAAATAATCTTTAACGACAACGTTTTTGTCAGCCAGTTCGGGGACACAATTCTCAATCCACATCGCACGTCTAGAACAATAAAAAGTATATCAGTATAAAATACTTTATGTGATATATTACATTATTTAATATTTTAAAAAGGTAAGGCATTCTTGTCATGTGCTGTCTACCGCTGTCTTATTAACATCCAACACTCAATACGCAGTCAAACGGTCTCCGCATTTGATTAAAAATAGCGAATTGCAGAAGTAGAAAGAAGACAATAAGAATACCGAAGTTAATTTAAATATTCTAACCTTTCAGAGTCCTTCGGTAACGTGAAGTGACTAATTACATATTTAGCTGAATGTAGCGAATTTCTATTCTTACGGTATTTCACACCACATTTGCGGTATGAAACACTTTTTGAATTGTTCATAATTGAAATAAAAAATCGCACAAACAAACCGGTGCAAAAGTTAACAATAACAACAAATAAATATATTAGAAATTGAGAAATGTATTAATATTTAATTGGGCATCCGGCATTCGCCATCGCCCATCTGTAGACTATAGGTACATAAATTAATCAATACCGCACGAGTGTGAAACTTCAAACTATAGTACGTTTCACGGAAACTGAGACTCGACTATAGCGCGCCCGGGCACTAAAATCAATACAGCTACTCAACATGATATAGAGTGTAGGCTATTGTACACAGCTAAACGGATTTTAAGTATTCAGTCGAGTATAACACGATCAAAATAATAATCAATAAATACCGTAGGCAAAATAATAACGGACATTTCGTACGCTATTTTGTTATAATAATATGTGGAATTTTATTTTTAAGTATAGGTACGTACGGCTCGCAAGGGAGCATTACGATAAGAAAATAAGTTACGAGTAAAATGCGAATATAACATGTACAATAGGCACTGCAATAAAAAAAAATTAAAACAAATATAAGGAAAAAGTTGAGGTATGAGGTTTATAAGGTGTATTGGTTAAAAAGTTTTATAAATAAATTCGATATTTATGTATTGCAGTGCAATATTCGATAATTCAATATTTCAATTGGTTTTGCTGTTTACCGTCAGCCCGCTCATATTTGAAAGTCAAAGAGTATATCATTTATTTTAACTATGTCACACAATACTCGTTACCAGACCATAAAAACAATTTTTAATGTTTATAATTATTTTAAAAAATTATGAATTGAAAAATATATATTGAGTTCAGTGTTTTGGCCCATAAACCTATAAATAAAATTAATTAAATATGTTAAATATTAAAATTTCGTTATCGGGTATTATCATGTTACTATTTTTCCGTGATATTATATTTTCTTCAATGCCATACCTAACAAATATCTCTGTCTCTTTATAACGATATCGATCTCTCTCTCTACTCTCAGTCCATTTCTTTATAGGTCTATGTTTTGGCCACATTCGGTTATCAAAATCGTCGTCGATTGACGATTAGTGTAAAATGTAAATGAGCCGTTTAATAAATTGTCTTCAGCTAATAGCCATTGATTAAATACATTTTGTATTTACCTACACAGCTACCGCCTACTATAAGTGGCTTTAGCTGGCCTTTAAAGTACAAAAAAAAGTCGTTAAATTTTCTTTTTACAGTGTATTTGAGATACGAATTAACGCGGGTAACAACTAAAACGCAATTATTTTTCGGACAAGGTAATACGTTTTATCTACAATAAACGTTCGAAATTCCATCGCATCATTTCAGTTTTTTGATTTCTAGATCCAAATGCATCGTCCACGTTTATGATGACTTCGTCGGTCGATCTCTTATACTAGAAAACAAGAAGCGGCATTATATGGTGAGTAAAATGAATCTAATATTGTGTAAATTGTTTGTATGCTCGGCTAAGTGCTGTTTTTCATTTCAACGCAACACTTTTTTTTGTCCGCTTGATAACCGATTGTCTATTGACTGTTTAACGCACAACTGTATCCATCTTTATAATATTTCTCGAATTTGTTTCCAAAAAACTGTTATTTTTCTAGTACAGTATTTGATTAGGCATTGCAAACAATTATTAGTTTTAACTAGCCTATAAATTTAATGATAAAAATCTTAACATTTAAAGCGTATGTATTTTAAAATATAAATTTATGATAAGTCCAAGCTACTGCATCAACTATACTATTATATTTGTTTCGGTGACATAATTACTAACGTTACAAGAATGATAAATGTATACTATAGTTCCATTCTGTAGAGTAGTCTATGGCAGTCCATCATGTATAGTAAACTTGACACATAATATTTTTGTGATTTTCAGTCAAAAGCATTGTCAATTTATTTTAATTAATTAAAAATTAGGATAATATAGTAACAAATATTGACGAATCCCCAAGCATCTCTGCGTGTGTCATACATACCTAATAACTAATATAGCTAAGTTTTTGACATTTGTTTGCTTTAAGCTTATTCTAAGTTAGACAATATGTTGATGACTCGGAAAACTATAAAAAAAATTATCAGCATGACTGGAAATGAAACACTTGTATCTTGCCTGCTGGGCAATTAATCTACCACAGACTTTTCGACACTATCTTCTTATCTTTGATATTTTATAGCTTTGTAGTTACTAAGTTTGTTAGTAGTTAACCCAATTACAGATAAACAACTGCACACTATATAATATGTCTTACACATTTATATTGTATTTTACACTAAAGTTTACCTAGAAGTTATAAACCATATTATTAAATATGTACAAACTGTATTAGAAATACCAAGAAGCCACCATTTTTTATCAAAATCAACTCGAGCTTTAGTTGTATGATATTATGAATGATTATAATGTGCATATAATATGTGATAATTTGATACCTACTTGACATTACTTGAAATTTATAGAAGTTTCATAAATTCAATCATTATAAATAATAACATTATTATATAACCATAAATAAACTTTGAATTTTTGTTTTTTTACAGATCAAAATCACATTCAATATACATTATAATTTGATTTAACGGACGCGACTGTAAATTAGTAATAATATTGTGCACGAAAACAAACACAAAAATCATCATGGTTAGTATTTATTGTTGAAAGTTAATTAATTTAAAAAGGTATTGCAGGAAGTTTATGCCAAACCGTTAAATAAGTATTCAAACAGATAATAATAGGAATAATTTAAACTAACCCTTAACTACTTACAATATTGAAAACCCATAATATAACGGTAATTTTATAATATCCTAGTATTGTAGTTGGAGATTTCTAACATTAAATTCAATTGCTTTTTTTGCAAACAATATTTGTTTATATTTTGGTTCTTGTTCATTTAAAATGGTTATTGATGTACAATAATATCAATATTTATAAATGGTTGGGGTTTTTCAGTGGTGGTCTCTAGGTTCTATGTAGTTGGCAAGCAGATATCAAATTATGATAATGACCATTAGCATTACTTTCCTTCCTCACAAAATCACCTACCACTGTAAAAAGATAATCTCCTAATGTAATAATGATAATCTACCACTATTTAAACTGTATAAATGGTCATTCGGAAATCTTTCTTTGGGAATACTCACTCGACCGCAAGGTACTCAGGTTTTTGAAAGCAATTGATTAAGACTAGGGATATTATTCGACCGGAGTATAATTCTGAGAAATACTATATAATTTGAGTACTATTTGTCAACCAAAGATTTGCACCCTTATTATTTCCATTTTATTATTTATGTACAAAAAACTAATTTTTTACATTATTCTATTGGTGTAACACCTCAATAATTGTTTAATGGATAATTGTGAGTTTCTTCTTTACATTTTAATGAAATCTAACACACAACTGTCATGTTAATGTATTAATTGTTTTAAGTCATACAATACTTATAATTGTGACTGTGAATTTTTTTTTATCTTAACACAATGGTGTATAGTTTATAATTAATTTCCTTAATACGCTATTTACAAATTATAAATATATGTACGTGTTTTTGATACTGAACAGTTTAAATATAATTATGTAAAAATATCTTATTGGATTATATTGTTACGTTAAGTGTGAACACATACTTTTAGTAAACTATTTTCATTTTTTTTATTTACTCTAAGGTAAAATAGTAATGTGAACACATAATTTGACATTTTTATTAAAAACATCAAGGTACACTATTTTATTTAGGCTTCACAATCTATATTTTAAGTCCAGCAAACTTTTCAATGCATGCTATTGTTATATTTTTATATAATTATAAATATTCTAATTGGAAAGCATTATAGTTTTTTTTTTTTTAATGCAATTGTTTAACTCTTACAAACTTATTTTTTGATGTAGTCTAATATTGTTTTTATGTGATTAGGTGAATTTGGTCGAACCTCCACTTCTTGCTGTCGGTACTGAGGTCAGTGCCTAGTATAAAGGAGCATTTTGTGATGCAAAGATCAGGAAAACCTCAAAATCAGTAAAATGCAAGGTTAGTTTATGATATATATATATATATATACATATACAGGTTTTGTGTTTTAGCAATATGTGCTAAATCAAAATTTGGTATGATCAAGAAAACATGCGTTTCTTTTTTTGTAGATTGGTGCAAATGTAATGAAAAGAAAGAGTTATAAGAAGGAACAATTCAAAAAATACAGGACTATTGTCAAAACACTGTTGGTACGACAAATTTCTAAGAGTTTTATTATTTTATTAGTTATTATTTTTGATATTTTAGACTTTTAAATGTATTCAATATTTATTTTTTATCAAAAAAATCTTTGTACAATTTATTTTTACTTAATTCTTAACTGTATACTAAATAATTTAAATAAACTTAGTTTAGCTGTTAAATAATCTTAATTGTTTAAACAATTGATGCTCTTTTTTATATTTCAATAGTTAGGTATTGTATTCAATGATTTTAAGTTTTAACAAAAGGTTTTATGTAGTGTGAATAATCTTATTTTGATTGATTTTTTACAGGGAAAGTGGAGAGGAAGACATTTTAGAAATGGAAGAAAAAGACATTGGTAACATGGTGTGCATAGAGTTCAATAACAAAAAAAAAGTCAGAGACAATTGGTTTCCCGGGTTAGTGCTAGCGCCTA